AGTCTTTCTCTTCACATTGTATTAGATATGTTTTATTCTTCTAGGACAACTTCCAGAGCTGCTGGAGAACACCTGCCATGTCCCAAATTCCCGTCCTTTTCCCAGATGACTCTTAGGAAAGAATCACTAGCACTGCAACACTGTGGGAAAGGCCCACTAACCACAGAATCACAGAGCAGGTGAGGTTGGCTGGGACCTGGAGAGGTCCCCTGGTTCAAACGCCAGCTCAAGCAGGGTCATCTGGAGCAGGTGGCTGCCTAGCCAGGCAGGTTTGGAGAAGAAGACTTCACAGCTTCTCTGGACAACCTGTTTCAGTGCTCAGTCACTCTCATAGTACCAAGTTTTTTTGTACACTCAGGTGGAACTTCCTGCATCCAGTTTCCATCCAAATCCTCTATTTCCATGGAGAGCATAAAGTACCTTACAGAAGGTCTTTGTTTCCTTGAGGAATTCTTGACTCTTCTCAATTCTGAGTTATAAATGTTGATATYACCTTTCTCCTTGCCAGCCAAGTGTACTTAAAAGCTTTCCTTCTGCAACTGACAGCCCTGTTAAAACTAACTGTTCTCTACTGTTTCTATCAACAGTCTTTCTCTTCTGGCAGGCAGCAAGCGTCCGTGAACTCGCAACTCTCTTTTTAGAAGGTGAAAGTTTCAACAGGAATTTCCGRGGAAATAAAACCCTTTACTTTCTAATTCATGTCTGAATGCCATCTGTCTATTCCAGGAAAATCACTATCATTTTGCAAGCAAATACATTCTGGCATATTTCTAAAATAACATGAAATATGATACAAAATACAGAGACAGGTGATAATTATTAGCTTTAGGGATCTTCTTCTCCCATATATATATGCTATATGTTTATATATGCATATAAAATACAAATCATAAAGCTAAAGATTCAGGTTCTTAAGAGCAAAAAACTTGCCCAGACTTGGCCTTCACAGTATGTGGCTAGTCCAGGATCAATACTGTATCATACGTCCTCAAACCAATAATAAAGCTGGTTTTATTCCCTGATTGACACTCCAAACKCCAAGTTTACCATGTCAGCAAAATATTTACTAGCCGTGATCAGTGAATCTATTGCAAACTTGGGAAATAACATAACTGAATAGCAAGTCAGTCACATACATTAGCCCAAGGAGGTGTAGAAGTCACCTCTCAAAGTCGTTGGATTCATGTGTGTGAATTATGCACTAATAGCTATGTAAATATAATGCTACAGCTCTTTCAAAGTTCAAGGGTGATTAATTTATAGAGTCCTGCTGAATCTATCACGTCGTCCATGCTGTGAAAGTGGCAGATTTTGCATCTGCCCACAATGCTGTTTATGCAGGAGTTGAGCATTAATCTGGCTCTTTGGCACTGTGTGACGTACACGCTGCTTCCTGGCCTTCCCGGGGCACGACAGCAGTCGTGCGCAGGCGTTCTCGTCTTATCAGGGAGTAATTCCTGCTTTTTACCAGCTATTGGAAACATTCACATTTTCTGATCTGAAAGCCATGGACATGTAGCGATTCTTGAATTGTGGGAAGATAGCTAACATACACAGATCGGATGGTTCTGGCCAATTTAATTAACACAAATTATCATGTCCTGTATCCGAATATCTAGATTCTGGTGTCCTCACAWTGCTCAAGCTGTATTGTCTTCAACCACAGTCCTGAAAGAGAGTGCTCTCTATTTGCAACTTCAAGGTTGCCCTTGTCCTAAATTCAAATAGAATTATGTCTTGCAAAGATTTTCAAGAAATCCACCTGTAGCTGTTTCACTAGTAAAGCTTCATTGTCAAATTTAATTTAATTAAAAAAAACTCTGAATACACCAAAGAAGAAAAAGTATCAATCATTTAACTATTCTCCCTTAAAAAATAATAATTAAAAAAGACATATAAACAGCAGTTTTTCTTTAATAGGCAAGAAACATGAAACATTCCCCTGTGTTTTTCTTGTATGTCCTCAGTCTTTGGGGAAAAAAGGATTTTGGATGATATTCTCAAAATTAACTCTAGATTCAGCAGTATAAATAATTTATACACATTTTTTTTTTTCTGAATCCTTGCAAAATTTTCATCGGGAAGATCTTTATATAACTAATTCCAGTTGAGTTGGGGTTGGAGATCCACTTCAGCTTTAGCCCGCTAAAAGCTGAATTCCTATTATCAGTGATATATATATATATATATATATATATATTAATCCCCAGTCTATAAAGACAACTCCATTGGGAAATTCAGCCTTCCAGCTGAGATGCATCTTCATTTAGGAGGAACAAACCTGAGATGACCCAGGCCCCAATCAACTAGTTTAAGCTAAATCACTATTATTTAAGTGGGTAAGTTTAGGTAAATTGAATCCCTCTTACTACACCAAAAACAGTATCATGAAGTTGGTAACAAATATTCAACATGAAAAGCTAATCTGTGGTTACACTGTAGCTGCCAAAAGCTTATAAATACTCAGAGCATCTACAGCCTGAAATGACTGTGAGCTGCCAGCTTTCACAGAGCTGCTGGTGGGGTTATGGCTAACGATGCCCAGAAGGCAGCCCCGACAAAGGGGAGTGATATTAGGAACCACAGAGTGTTGGTGCCACCTAGAGGGACCTTCTCACATTAAAAAGTATGGAAATCCTGCATGCTTGTGCAATAAATATGCGAGATATACACTGCTAAAGAAACGAAACCATGGAAAAAAATAGGTACTATAGCTCTACAAGAATCACACACAGCTATAAAAGCTAATACATTACAAGTTACAMTGAAAAACTACCACTGTCCTCAACAAAGCTCATATAGACCCCRTATTTAAGACAAGCAACTGCAAATTCCTCTCCTTCAAACCATTCCCACCCTCACAGCTGTATTCCTTCCCTCCTTCCTCCCATTATCTAGCATCTGAGGGAAGCAGCCAGCAAAGTGGCTCTATTTGAGGTCAGATCCTGGCTCCCTGTATTGCTCTCACACCGTAACAGCGGGAGCCAGCTGGCCGGGAATGCCGTGGACCTCCAGGAAGCACCAAATGCCTGGTCAAGACACCCTCCAGGCTGCAACTCCGCAGGCTTCTGCTGATCACCACCTTTGCTGAATGGTCCTTTGAACACCAGTGTAAGTCAATGTAGCTTAAAACTGCTCATTGAGAAAGCAGAACTCCACAAGCAAAAGAATGACTAGTGCCTATTGATAAGTGTTTGTCTTTCCTCCTCCACTAAATCTACCACCATCTAGTCACCATGGTAACTCAGACAGAAGTGGTGAATTACTAATAATTCACTGTGGTGCTGTGGCCTTTGGGACTTTTTGCTTATAGGTAGAATCTCTCTCTAGACACTTAATTTTGGAGCATGTGTTCAGCAAAATGTTGTTGAATGTGAGGCCTTTCTCACCCTTTGCTGTTGCAGAGTGACAATTCCTGCTGTGTGTTGACATGTGGGCACCGGTTTCATGCCATGGCTCTTATTTGCCACCAGAGAACCCTACGTGGCAGTGGGGCTGGGTCTAGCAAATAACAGACATGTGGAGGAACGTGCTCTGCCTGCTTCGGGTGTACTTTATCCTCAGGCGGACACTAACTCTTCTCCCTTCCCACACGTTCATCCTAGCAGAGTGGCACCTTAGCTCACACCCATTAAATCTCTCCCTATCCATCCTGGTTGCTAGCACAGTAATGGAAAGGCTAGTTAGTGCCAAAATATGGATGTAGCACTGGTGTCTGCTCCCATCAGCTCTAAAGCCCTAGCTATGTGTCCTTATGCCTTTAACAGTCTCATGCAGCACCAGCACAGCCACAATCCTTACCCTTCAAAGTATAAACACCCTCAAGTCCTCTCAGTTAGCCATTTTTGCATAGGGAGACTCCCATGGAGTCTGCCATCACTGGCTACRTACAGCAGGTGCTTGGTGCTGGCCATGATCCCAGGGAAGTGGCAACTGGGATGCGGCTCCCTTCTCTGCAGCGCTTCCTGGGCTCGTTCTCCCTTCCCAGCACTCCCAGAGCTGCAGGATTATTGGGACATTGCTGTTCCTCCCTCCTGCTCTGAAAACGTGGCACATTGCCCTTGCACATTTCTTGCAATGCATTATGTGGACATAACTACCGAGATGCCAAAGTGTTTTATCAGAAAATGAGAGCTCCAGTGGTTCTTCTGGCAAAGTGGTGTTACTGATGTCACGAGGGCTTCACCTTTGTATGTGCTGTTTTGCAGGACTGGATGGATTAACACGGTTATAAAAGCAGTCTTGGAATCATTTAGCTGGGGTATATGCCTCAATTTAGCAAAGTACATTTGTAACATACTAAATCTTTCTATCAGGCTTGATCTAAACACGTATAAAACAAAACAAAAACAAAACAAAATAAAATAAAACAAAACAAAATAAAATAAAGGGACTGGTACACCTGAATGTACGCATGCCACCAGATTGGGAAGCAGTTAAATTGCTTATAAAGACACAACAAATCCCATAGGGAAGAGGATACTGATACCTTTAAAAACACCTTTACAGATAGCGCTGTAAGTGCACCCACACTTACTGTGAAACTACAACAACATCAGTATAAGCTCCACTCAAAGTCAAAAATCTACATGCATTTCAGGCTTGAATTTTGGCGAGCCAGCTGACATAACTGAACATAGCTGACATCATTGCTCTTTTTTTCTTTCTTTCAAAATACTGACTTTATGAAGGCTTGAAGTATCACTACAGGCTAACAAAGTTGTTCTCTGTTCAGTTGTTCTGTATTATCTGAGAATTCTGACCTCAGAAAAGTTGCTTTGCTCTAATGTCTAGTCAGCCCTGGTAATGACTATGCCCTCCCTACGCGCAGTGAAAAGCGGGGCTGTACCTTTGACTGGCCGCTCGGGCACCGGGTCGGACAAACCAACCCCTGAACGTCCCTGATCCTGGGAGGAGATGGTGGAGGAGGAGGAGGAGGAGGAGGCAGAGCCTGCCCAGGGCCGCGCCGCGCTGCGGGGCGGAGCGCGGGGCGGGCGGCGATGGCGGCCGCGCTGTGGGCGCTGCTGGCCGCCTCCTTCCTGGCGGCGCTGCTGCTGCAGCGGGCCCGGGCGCGGCGGCCCGGCGGCGGCGGCGACAGCGGCTTCTTCCAGGAGCTCATCCGCTACGGAAAGACCAAGAGCGGCGGCGAGCGGCGGCCGGCCTCGCTCCGGCTCCTCCATGTGCCCAAGAGGTGACGCGCGGGCGGCCCCTGCGCGCGGCGGGCGGTTAACGGCCGTTAACGGCTCCTGGCTGGCGCGGGTAGGCGGGGGAGCCCCTTTCTTCTACCTCTATAGTCCCACGAGGCAGGAGAGCTGGAAAATGCGCGTGCCCAGGCAGCTTAGGGATTTATCACTTCATAAAGAGAAAATATATATATATATATACAGGTATTTTCTTATGAATTCACATTCATTGCCTTTTTGTTTCTCTTGCACGTACTCCCTTGTGCATGCTACCTTTTAAGTGAAAAAACAGTGGAAGGCTGCTTCTTACTGGGAATGTTGTTCCTAAGCCGTCTGATTTTTAAAGTCTTATTTTATATTAATTTTGCAAGTGGGAGCCTGCAGACCTGACGGAGCGTGCTGCTTGGTTGCAAGGCAAGTCACACTGCTTCCGTGGAGCAAGTCAGAATTAAATGCATRCATGCAGTCTGTACGATGGGCTTCTGCAGCTGTCTTCAGCTTTATTAGTAATGTTGATGATAGTTAAAACTGCCTTAAGTAGTGCAGAGAGCCAAAACACTGGAGCACTGGGCCTGTCAGGAAGGACAGAGCTCAGATTTGCGGATAGAGACTCATGTACTGTGTGACTCTTACGTGAAACAATCAAATGCTGTGATTTCTGTATCTGAAGACTAGTTAAAATAGCCTATACCACTGATAGATCACATCTTGAATATTTATTAAGTGCTTATGGTAGGGAAATGGCATGTATTCTTATGCCACAGTTGGGGGGGAAAAAACTGTTTCAATGATAAAATGCATATGAAAATAGATTATTAAAACTCACTGTACTTTTAGAAACACGTGATTATTAAAGTCCATTTCAGGCCTACTGGGAATTTACCCACTGAAACTATAATACGGTTAAGTGCTTGGTTCCCAAGAGACAGAATGATTTTCTGGAAGATTCTCAAAATTTTTCACTGTAAAGCAGAGYTTGTTGACAAATTGGCTGGTAAAAGGAGCATGTTGTAACGCTATGAAGTTTGTTGGAAAGTATGTTGAGCTGGAAAATGTATAAAATACTGTTTCAAATGAGACTTGTAATCTCCAGGACAAAATGAAAGATTCTGAAATAACTATCTGCTTACTCTGTCTGCTTACTCTGTCTCTTCCATTTTTAAATGTCATCAAACAAACTTGCATAGTTAGCCTCAAGTGTGGGTGGTTTTTTTTTTTTTTTTTTTTTTACCAAGTGTGAATCTGTTTTTACAGATGAGGAATGAGGAACAAACTTCATTCATGCACAGTTCACATCCCCAAAGCTGAAATTAAAGCCTTATATCTTGAATCACGGTCTTGCCCAGTATGTGTAAAACAAATCTTCCTGCAAGACAAGAACAGGGAGCTGAGAATGTGGACTTCTGAGTCCATGCAAAAACACTGTGGGTTTGCTTTCTTAAATCTACTTACYATCCTCATATCTTCCTCCAAAGTTTCTTTTTCTTTTTTTTTTTTTTTTAAATGCAGCACAAGATGCTAGTTAGAGAAAGCTAGTATGACTAGCTGGATCCTGCATGAAGGACAATAACCCCAAACAAATGTTGGGTTACCCAAACACATCTCTTTTGCTAAAATAGTCATTCAAACAACCAAATTGCTATGAAAACCTGGGATGCAACTTAACTCAAAAAATGCCATTGTCCCTAATTTAATCATCTGCCTGCAAAGATAACAGCAAGCTGTCTTCCTGCTTGTCAGTAACATTAATAAATGTGTGTCTTGAAAGCTACACATTTTAAAAAGTTATATAACATGGCATATTATTCATGGAAAGGTTGTAATGTGGTATCTTGGTTATCAAGCTTATAGTCATAGGAAATTCCCAGGGATCCATTTAAACGCTGTGGTATCCTTGGCAGAAAGAACAGTTTGTAAAGGTGTTTTAATTACAGTGCATTGCAAAAGCTGCGTTCTGGAGGTGGTTCTCATTTGAATAGAGATTTTGCAACTGAAGTTTCCTACAACCCGTTCTTAGGGAAGATGGTGTCAGAAGAAGGTGGCTTTATGCTGTATTGGCCTTCARAACTCAACATTTGCAAAATCATCCTGTTACTAGTCAACACTGCATGCTGAGAGAATACAGAACATCCTGGAGGTGGCTATTGCAGCACTTTGTATTTCCATTTTGTCTGTATTTTTTTTTCTCCAAATAAGTATTGTGCTTTTACTAGCCTAGACTTGTTCTCAACTTTGCCATTCCATCTTGTGTAATATTATAATTCATTTTAGGTTGGTTTGGCAAATACCAAACACTCCTCTCCTTGAGGGATGACACATGTATGTACTGTATTGTTGGCTTGGTCTCTGTATCAGATATGTGCTCTGTGTAGCTGGCATTGCTGAAAGCTCTTGGTGCTTTTCAGCTTAGCTGGCAGAGTTTGTTTGCTGGTAACAAAAGCAACTGACTTGAGGAAAGTTTCCTGGCAGGAAATGAGATGGAGACCTACAAATAACAGGACAGCAAGGAACTTGAAATTGGAGATATGGTTTTATCAGTATACAAATGTGTTTGGCTTTTAAGTGGAAAGTGGTGGAAGGTTGATTTCAGTTGTACTGTTGGAAATCAGCAAAGCAAACCTTACAGTTCTTGTTTGCTTATTAGGAGAGAGAGCTTAGAAGTTGCCACCCACCTGAAGGAGCTGCCAACTGTTACAGGTCAAATAGTTTTACCATGCTCAAGATCAGGCAGTTTTAGTGCATTAGACTCTGGCTTGGTTCCTGTATTGCTGCTGAGAGGGACCTTAGCTACTCTAGGGGGAAGTCGTTTTATTTTGTTTCACTAAGTAAAGGTGTTGTYCTCATCCTCTTCACACTTTCCCAAATTACTAGGTTTCTGTGGCATATACAAGCTGTACAGGCTTTGTCGAGTGTGTGTTCTAGAGAAACAGTCTTGACTGTAGAGTTATATCCTGGTTTTGCACTGATGGAGTTATATTGTCACCAGAAGGCTCTGAGCATCTCCCCATCATATGTATTCATCTCTTTGCACGTGTTGCTGGAGGTCCTGAGTTTTGTTCATAGTCGCAGAGATTTCCTTGTTAAGAGCAAAAGGAAATACTGAATCGCCTAGTCTGAACTGGTTATTATAGGCTGTTTAATTCCAGCCAATTACCTACCTTGATCATAGTATCAATCATAGTATCTTTTATTTTAATGCTGCGTAATGTACTTACCTAAGTGTATAATGGGGCTGGGAGCTCCTTKCCTTCAGAACAAAAGAGTATCAAGTCGTGCCTTGTAATCACCAAGAAATACTGATGATCTGTCCTGTTTTCTATATGATTCTTGCGGGTCTTTGGAAATATAAGAATTTCCACATATTTTAGCACACAGCCTGAGTAATTATGTCCAGGTCATTTTACCATCTACATGTCTCATTCATGAACTGTAAATACATTGTGTAATACATCCCTGAGAACTGAAGAATGTGGAAATGCTACTGGGTCTAGCAGCATGGAAGTGCCCATGTGCTTTTCAGCTATGTGAATTACAAAGAAAAAGCTATGTCCATTGTAATTATTTGTAAGCATTAAGATACTCTTGTTATTTGTGGTTACCACTCTCTCCTCTTTAATGCAGCTACTGTTAGTAAGGTTGGCAGAGCCAGGGGTACTGCTGCTTGTTGTCGCGGACTGTCTGTCACAGGGAAAGAGGCTCAGAGGCTCCTAGGGCTGTTACTGCTTAGCGATTGCCTGTTTCTCTAATCATYGATGCGTGGGCCAAAAGGGATTCTTCTCTCCATCAGAAAAACATATCCTGTAGCTATGTATCCAGCTAAGGAATAATGAAAGCAGTATCCTAATGTAAGATACTTCTGCTCCCACAGGTGGTTTATTCACTTTTATGCTGTTTCTGTGCTCTGGAATGGCTTTCTGCTGATCTGGCTTCTCCAAGCTCAGTCCCTCCCAGGATCTCTCTCATCATGGCTTCAGCATCTGCACCATGCTCTTGGCAGAGCTTCACAGAACGAGGACATGGGCAAGTATTCCAGACACCAAGGAGGAGCCATACRAGTATTAGCAAGCAGCACCACCGTCCTTTGCTGAATTTGTGTTCTTCATGTGCTACTTCATCAGCTACTCCTAAACTAGGCTCCAAATGACTTTCCTGGAATAACAGCTCCCCTTGTCATTATTCAAGGTAGAAATCATTCTCCTTTATGAATACAATAGCTTCCAGCAGTGCCTTGGTAGACAGGGCACCTCCTAGAGGTAGTCTTGCACAGCCACTGTGGTCAGCGTGTCTCAAATGTATACATTTTTCCCAGTGGGTAAATTTGGGGTAACATTTGGGTAGGATTTTTCTGTGAAAAGGAGGAAAATTGGCCCTTTTTGGGCATTGTTGTTGGATTTGTACCTRTCTATCCCTGAGTCRCTGTTTTTATCTGCGAGCAGGCAGTGAACACTTCTCTGCACTCTTAGTCCTCCTGCTCCTCTGGCTGCACAGCTTTCGGAGACTTGCAGAGTGCCTCTGGACCAGTGTATTTTCTGATGGCGTCATTCATACCGTGCAGTATTGCTTCGGGCTTGGCTACTACGTTGCTCTTGGCTTAACTGTGCTATGTCAAGTGCCTGCTAATTTCAGGAACGGTAAGTGCCTGCTTAGGTATTATCAGAGGTGCATTTTTGCTCCCATTTGTTTCCATCATAGTAAATGTGGTTTTGTAGAAGGCTTGTGTGGCAAGTATGTTAATTGATGAGATATAAATATACTTACTGGCATATTTCCAATTAACTGTATCTCAGTATATGATATAATGACCTAGGTGTGTTTCCCTGCACCCCTGACAGAAGCAAAAATACACACATATATATAATTTTATATTAAGAATAACTATTTTTCACAGAAAAAAAATATTCCACTCTAGATACTTTCATGATCCTTACAGATAAGCTTTGTCATAAGATACTTCTGCTTTATGAAGGGAAATAATAGATACCATTTCTCAAATACTCCAGTTTTCATTGGAGTGCACTGTGGAGTATGCAACTCTGGCCCTCAAACTGGAGGTTCAGTTTTTTTATGACCCCTCTCTGCCAACCCCTTTCACTGTATCTCACAACTGAGCTGCTATTTCTGTTCTGCACAGATGAACCATGAGCTGAAACATTTTGTCTGGTGACAGTATTTCTCCCTTTTTTTTTTTTTTTTTTGGAGGGTGATCATTACTAAATATGTAATTTTAGTGGAGTTTTTAACTACCTCCAAGCATCTTACATCAGCTCTAATATTCTACAGTGATTTTTTTAAAGTAAGCTTCAGATGTCCTGTCTGTGGATAAAGCCTATCTTTTTTTTTAACCTAGGCCTGTTTTCTCCTTTCTTAATTTTCTATACTCTCAGAAAGGTGATATATTGACTTGTACTTCAGAACTAATCCTTAATACAGAAAAGGTTTTCTTAAAGACCAAAATGCTTCAGTGTGTGTGTGCACACATGTGCCCTTGTACACCCAAGCATTTTGCTTACTGTGAACAAGATAAACAGCGCAGTTCATATGAGTAATTATGTAGTTGTGTTATATGAGACATGGCAGCATCTTTTTAGGATATTTTAAAGAGTGTTAAATATTGAGGTATGCATCCATTATGTGTTTGTTGCACTTTACATTGTACCTCAAACTGCTGCATCAGAAACTAAATCTTTAACTTTACTATAGTAAAGTTAAAGATTTAATCAGCTAAGCAGTTAAGTCACACAGGATTTAAGAACATCTTTCAAAGGATTAAATACACACTAGTGGAAATTTTAAGGYATTTGTAGTATATATCAGTGTTTTGGGATGATGCTTGGGGGGTATTTCTGGATCCTTTTATTAATGAAATGTATTTAATTCAGGAGAAGAACTTTCTGTGCAGATCTGCTGGTACCACATTATGGGAATTGTGATGTACATTTGGGCCTCGCTTCACCAACACAGATGTCTTGTGATTCTAGCTAATCTTAGAAAAAGCAAATCAGGTAAGGGGTTTCATTTCTGTGAGCCATTTACCGAGGTAAATTATCCAATATTAAAAATGGCTCTTGCACTAGCCTTCTGTAGCATTTAGTAACTTTTTTTTTAAAGTATTTTTCAGTTACTGAAGTTTAGCTATAAGAATTTCACTAAGTTAGAATGTATTTGGCAAAAAGATTAGATGTCTGAATGATACATGTGTGTGTGTGTGTGTGCACGCATGTGTGTTCATGTATAGTTTTCCAGAACCTTCATATATAAAAAAAATAAAGATCTCGCTTCCAATATCCAAAGTATCCAAAGACAAGTAGTAATTCTTAGGACTTATGTCACTTCTCCACTGAGAACTCACTTCTCTGTGTGGACTAGAAATGATTTCCGTGATCTTTTTTAAGAATGCAAAGCTGCCAAATCAGATACAGGTGGATCGTGATTATAATTTTAATGAGGGTGCTGTTCTGTAATTATAGATAGAAAAGTTTGCAACCCATGCTATTCACAACTAACCTATTTTTCCATTTGTTTGCAGGAAAGGTCATCAATCTGAGCCACAGTGTACCTTACGGAGACTGGTTTGAGAGAGTTTCTTGCCCTCATTATTTTGCAGAAGTCCTCATATATGTATCTATGGCCATCACACTCGGATTGCACAATGTGACGTGGTGGTTTGTAGTGTTGTATGTCCTTTCTAACCAGGCACTGGCTGCTGTTTTGTGTCATGAGTTCTATCAAAACAAATTTAGCTCCTACCCAAAGCATCGAAAAGCATTTATACCATTTGTTTACTAGAGTATTTTTTTTAAATATCTTTAGAACAAGCTTGGAATTTTTTTTTGTAAGACAGCRAGAGATTGATGTTTTCCTAAAGACAAGAGAAATTAACACATATTGTCTATTCTATCTTATGGCTTTGATGATAAATTTCATCTGGTTTCCTCTTGCAGAGAAATGCAAGGTCTCTCTAAGCAAAGGTCAGATGATACTGAAGACCTTAAAATTGAAGGGATGCTAACTGTTTTTTTTAATAATCACATTTTAAGTATAAAACATTTGCATTACACATGGAATACATACATACAAAATATGTATGTATGAAATCTGGATAGGGAAAGGCAGCCACAGGGAATCATTTAAATTACTGCATTTTGTGTCTTGTCTAATATTTAAGTGTATTTTTTTTTCTGTTCTCTTTGGACCATTTCAGATGGAGGCAAATTGTRTACTTTCTTTGCTTCCCTGTTGATAATTATAAAACAGTGGTTGTTCTTAACTGCAAGCAAAAAAGATGAAGAGGACTGTAATGAGGGAATGACTCATGCTCAGCAGTAGAGAGAAACAACAGACCAGTCCTCTGCATTACCTTTTCTGCATAAAAAGTCAGTATTCCTTGGTGGAGCTTCTTGTTTATCCTTGGAACTTGGAAAATCTTGGAAAATACTCTTTCTGGAGAGAACAGAATAGTAGAGAATTTGCAAAATAATAATATTCTAAGTTATAATTTTGTCATCTAAGGTTATTGGAATCCCTCGTGTTACAAAGGGCAGTTTTGCATCACAGTAACCATGGCTACGCTGTTTTTTAAATAACTCATGAAAGCAGATGTAATTAAATGCCAAGCAGTAAACACACGGAATCACAGCATGGCTGAGGCTGGAAGGGACCTCTAGAGATCATCTAGTCCAACCTCCTGTTCAAGCAGGGCCACCCGGAGCTCGGGGCACACGGAGGCATCTGGGCGGGTTTRAACATCCCCAGAGGAGACTGCACAACCTCTGAGGACAGCCTGTTCCAGGGCTCTGGCACTCTCACAGGAAAAAAATAAAAATAATAAAAATAATATATAAAATGCTTTTATATATGTATAGATATAATTTTATGTATTATTAAATATAATATAGATGTAAATAGGTATGTTATAAAGAAATTCTTCACAGGGGCTGTTGTATCCCTTTGCCCAGGTGTCCTTTGCATTTTCCACTGGATAGTTTGGGCCTTTCTCGCGGTACGGGAGTGAATGAACATTTTACCTGATGCAGCGGATGGATGTTGGCGTTTCAGCTTGTTTTCCGCTCTGCAGTGGTGTACTTAACCCCTCTTTTGTATGCGGGAATATTTTACATAAACTGGAGCATCTCTGGTGTTTCGAAATACCTAATTAAAAGGGTGCTTTCTGTTTGCGGCGCGGGTGTCCCCGTGTCTAAGGGGGGCTCGCGCTGCCGTTCCCGCGCGGCGCCCGCCCCGCGCCCTGTCCGCGGGCCCCCTCCTCCCCGCGCGCCCCGCCGCGCCACGTGCACCCGCGGAGGCCGCGGCAGTGCCGGAGGCCGCAGCGGTGATGGAGGCCGCAGCGGTGCCGGAGGCCGCAGCGGTGACGGAGGCCGCGGCGGTGCCGGAGGCCGCGGCGGCTCCGCGCGCTCCCGCGGGGGCTGGGCGCCGCGCCTGTTGCCTGGCAGCTCCGCGGTTTCCAGGGCAACCAGAGGTGCTAACTTGTTAATGAGCCCCGGGGCCCTGATTGCCGCTGCAAAATAATAGTAATAATTAGCTGCAGTCCCTTGATTTAGGGATCCCTCGAGCAGCAGGAGCCGGCGAGGGCAGCTTGTGAAGTGCCCGGGTACTTGAAAGAAATAAGGGGATGGAGAGGAAAAAGGGTGGAGATCTTGGTGAAGGTGCTGGATTTTACATCCCGATCAAGGTCCGGGGAGCTGGGGGCTGCTGCGAGTGTCCGGCTGCTGCTCCCGGAGCGACACCGGGCACAGGAGAAGCCCCATTGCCCCCTGCCCCTCATCCCACATCTCCTGGCTCCGGATTTGACCCTTTCCACCTCCTCATCCCTGTGCAGTGCAGCCTGTGCTGGATGTATCCCACAGTGTCTTCTCTGCCTTGGGCACCCCGTTGCAGTCCTGCTGGAGGCAGCCAGGGATGCGGCCGTGTGGGAAGGGTCCCTCCTGGACACAGCTGCTTGGTTGGTGGTTAGTGAGGTTCAGGGTGTCTGCAGAGAGGCACCGGCCTTTCCTGTCGCCCTCCGCAGTGCAGCAGACCCCAGCTGTGCCCCTGCCCCAAGCACACGCCTCCCCCGGAGGCCTCGTGCCAGGCGCTCGAGCAGCCTCCACCCCAGTGACTCTGTGCTGGGCCAGCCCAGGCCGGACTTCCCGCTGCACTCAGGCCGGGCCTGTTCGGGATTTCCTGGCTCTCCTGCCTGGCCTGACCAGCAGAGGGTCGGAGCCGGGACGGCCGGAGCGCCGCAGAGCTGCACTGGAGATGGACTCTCATCCCATCAAACCCGCGGTGCTCCGAGCTCCGCGAGGTGCTTCCCAAGGCGCCCGCAGGACGGGAGCGCGCGCTGGAGCGGATCCCGCGGCGCGTGCCGAGCTCTGCCTGTGTCCCCGGCCCTCGGCTGCGCCCTGGCCCCTCCTGCCTGGCTGTCCCCATCCAGCTAAGCCCTGTGCCCGTCTCCTCATTACAGGCACTCCAGGGAGAGGCGGGATTAAGGGATTATGGTAATGTTCTTCAGGAACACTCAAGAAGATTAAGATGGCTTTAATAAACTGATAAGCGAGGGACACGGCTATGTTTCTGAAACCCTAATTTAGGCTCCAGTCTAACCTTTTTCCCCTGCTCTGGAGATTGCCCCCTGTCACCATGGAGGGGGAACAGGAAATTTCATATTTCTGCAGTGCTCCGTGGCCAAGCCTGTGCCTTCCTCTTTGCCTTTGCTTACGGCCCAGCAGAGCAGAAGCAGAAAGTCTCCTTCCTTCCTTCCTTCCTTCCTTCCTTCCTTCCTTCCTTCCTTCCTTCCTTCCTTCCTTCCTTCCTTCCTTCCTTCCTTCCTTCCTTCCTTCC